AAAAGGGTCTAGGCCCGAAGCGTCAGCCTTCCTGCTCCTCTGATGCTGCTTGGCCTGCTGTGTTCATCCAGCTCTACATCTTGGTATCTCATTTCCATGAGCACCCTTGCCCAACCATCAAGTGTGGTCGATCAGTTTCATTATCACCACCACATCTCGCTATAGGAACCACAGTGGTCTCTGAAGCCCACTTACCTCCTTGTTCATCCAGCATGACGAGAGTCCTGATCCCAGCATCTTTGCTCTGTGGGTGGTGATTAAAAAAAAGTAAGTCGTGAGAGAGAAAGAATAGAAATCATTACCGAATGCAACAGAGGCGCTCAATTAATCCAAAGCTTTCACATCTTCACTCAGTACGTTATGGATAAACATATAAACCAGTGTGTGCTGGATTACCACAGACCAGCATTAAGAGCTCCATTAACAACACAGAAAAAATTCCTACGGAGAACTTTCTATTCACCTGCCATGCAGCGCACACTCTATTAAGTGATATATTCACTTACCCAAATTAAGATACAAATGTGGCTGTGTTTAATGAGCTCAACCAATGTTGAGTGCCTATAGGCTTCCTCTTGAAGACTCAATGATGATAGTTCTACCTTTTGCACTGAGTGTGCCATAGAGATTTGGCTTGATTCACATTCTGCACAGTCCCAACCAGGTATTCTTACAGAGGACAGACCCAGCCAGCCATACGTTCAGGGTAGAGTCCCAGGTATATACAGTGATAGTCATAGAGTCATACAGCACAGAAACAGACCCTTCGGTCCAACTAGTCCACGCTGATCAAGTTTCTGAAACTAAATTAATTCCATTTGCCTGAATTTGGCCAATATCCATCAAAACCTTTCTTATTCATGTACCTATCCAAATGTCTTTTAAATGTTGTAACTGTACCTGCATCTACAACTTCCTCTGGCAGTTCATTCTGTATTGAGTACAGACCGAGCCAGCTACATGTAGAGTATAGACCCAGGCAGGTATATGTACAGAGTATAGACCCAGTTATATATACGTTCAGTGCAGACCCAACCAGGTATGTAAAGAGTACAGACACAACTAGGGATACGTAAAGAGTAAGAACCAGCCAAGTGAATGTACGGACACAACTAGGGATATGAACATTGTGCAAACTCAGTGAGGTATATGTACAGTATACTGAGTCGATCAGTTTTATGTACAGTGTACAGACCCAGCCAGGTAAAAAAGATTTAAAAAAAGAAATTAAGAGAGCAAAGAGAAGACAAACCACTGACAGATAACATTAAGAAAAGAAATCAAAAGTATTTTACAGTACACTGGGGCAAAACAATAACCAGGGAAAGAATAGGAACCATTAGGATCCAAAGTGGTGATCTCTTTGTGGAACTGGAAGACATAACTGAGGTTTTAATGCATATTTTGCATCTGTATTCTCTATAGAGAAAGAAGATGTAGATGTAGATGTAGGGATAGACCAAGAAACTATGGACCTCATTGATAGCGAAACTAATGGGAAAAGAATGTTGAGGGACAGAATTAATCTCCACCTGGAGGTGAGGATTAATCAAGGATTGTCAGCACGACTTTGTCAGATCATGTTTAGCAAATGCGATTGAGTTTTTCAAGGAGGCAACTCAGTGTGTGGACTTCAATAAGGTGTTTGCCAAAGTCTTGCATGGCAGGCTGGTTAAGAAGCTAGCAGCCAAGGGATCCAGGGCAATTTGGTAAATTGGAAGAATACCATTACCCCCAGGGAGAAATACCATCACCTCAGGAAAGAACACCATTACCCCCCAGGGAAAAATACCTTTACCCCCAGGGTAAAGGTCGCAAAGAGTAGACGAACTAAGTCTAGAAACTGCTGACCACAAAGTTGTCTTCCAAAGATTGGTAAACAACTACTGATTGAGTGAAGGAGGGATGAAATTATACCACCTTTACGTCATAAATAAGAATAAGATAAAACAAGAGTGAACTCCCATTTCCATTGAAACATCACTGCACCCAGAGACAACAAATTGCTGAAAGGATTAGTCAAAAAGGAGCCAATATTCTCCTGGTATTTGGCCAGTTGAGCTTTGAACAAATCATTAACTTGAGAGTGTATTCTGTCTGGGAACTGATTAGACAGTCAACTGCACTGGTTTGTAGAAGACGTGACTTGGGCCACTTGAGGATTCAACAGGAAGGGAGAATGGTGCACTGGAGTGTGACCCACATACTGAGCATCATCTAGTAGTCTATGAATTTGCAGTCTCTTACACAGGAAACTATCTATAGTAATAATCTAACTCCAATTTCAATTTGTGTTGTAACCCATATGATTTATTTAATCAGTCAATTCATTTCCTCTCCTACTCTCTTCAGTCTATTTAATGAGTCAGACAGGAGAGGGGGATAATGTGATGACAGGCAATTCCACATTAATTCCTGTCCATCCTGCAGTTTGATCTGTGTAGGAGGACCAGTTCGACCAACCCCAAACCCTTGTGGATCCATAGGTTCTTAATCCAACATGATGCTAAGTGGAGAAGGCTTAGCTAATCTTGAAGACTACACATCAATCCACCTTAGAAAAGGTGGAAAATCAATCAGACTGAATTTTACACTGGGCCTGGTGAGATTGGTTTCAGTATTCAATTCCCACATGATAGCAGAGCAGACTGACAAGGTCATGGCTGAACTAGTGATGCCAATCTTAGATATCACACCACACCCTGCATCAATCAGGCAGAAACTAGCTACAACTATGAAATGAGAGCAACAGCTTTTAAGTTGGGCCATATGCCATTGGAACTGAGAAGAATGAGAGGTCAGGAATGTGACTTTCTGGAATTCTCTTCCCCAGACAACAATGGAAGCTGGGTTATTAAATACATTCAAGATGGAGATAGACAAATTTTTGATTGATGACGGTGTAAAGATTTATTAGAGGCAGACAAGAGATTGGAATTGAGGCCATTATCAGATCAGCCACAATCTTATCAAATATCACATCAGACTCAACGGGCCGAAAGGTCTACTTCTGTTCCTAATTCTGGAGTTAGTCGAGGATTGGCTAGGATCTTTTGTCCCCTGGTGGAGGAACTGAACTCTCTGAGTCCACAATCTCATCAGAGCAGACCTACTGTGTGGATCACTGGGTCGGACTCAGAGCTGGCCCAAGGGTTTGGCACCTTCAGTGCACTATGACCATGGCACTCCTCATCCCCATTCAATACAAAGAAAAGTGAGAAGTCCAGAATGAAATGTTACCTTATTTACTTGACTAAGAAGATCTAATTTGGCACCTCTGAAAGCTTGGCACCTTAGATGATCGCCGATATCACTGATATGGCCAAGCCAGCCCTGATACTACACTTGGGATTAAGTCCAACTCCAGGGAGTGATCCAGCTTGACACTCCAGTGTAGCATTGACAGAGTGCTACATTGTCAGAGGTGCCAGCTTTGCATGAGATGTTAAAATAAAGCTCTGTCTGACCTCTCAGTTGGGTCTAAATTATCCCATGGCATTATTTCAAAGAAGATGGTGCTGCATAGTGCCTCAGTGGTTAACACTGCTGCCTCACACCACCAGATACCCACGTTCGATTCCACCCTCAGGTAACAGTCTGTGTGAAGTTTGCACATTCTCTCCACGTCTGCGTGGGTTTCCTCCCACAGTCCAAAGATATGCAGGCTCGGTGGATTAGCCACGGGTAATGTGGGGTAACAGGGAAAGGGTAGGGGGTTGGGGCAGGGTTTGTGTGGGATGCTCTTCAGATGGTTGGTGCGGACTTGATGGACTGAATGACCTCTTTCCGCACTGTAGGGATTCTAGGAAGAGCAGGAGGCATTTTACCTATGATGTTCTATTCTTCAACCAACATTAGTAAGAACAGATGATCTGGTTATTGGTCATAGAGTTTTGTGTGGAATCTTGCTGTGCAGAAATTTGCTGCTGTGTTTTTTACATTAGAGCAGTGACTTACTTCAAAACTGCTCAGAGGTGTCGGAGATAGCAAGAACTGCAGATGCTGGAGTCAGAGTCTAACACAGTGTGGAGCTGGAGGTACACAGCGGTCAGGCAGCATCAGAGGAGCAGGAAAGTCGGGATCCTTCTTCAGAACTCCTCAGAAGGGTCCTGACCTGAAACATCGACTTTCCTACTCGTATGATGCTGTCTGACCTGCTCTGCTCAGACGTATCCCTAGGTTGTGAAAGTTCCCATATATATACAGGTCTTTCTTTTGGTTATCCCTGCTTCTCTTATGTACATTCTAATCTACTGCTCTTAGTGACTGGATACTAAACTGCAACCTAGAATAGAATAGAATCTATACAGTGTAGGGACAGGCCCTTCGGCCCAACAAGTCCACACTGACCCTCAGAGCATCCCACCCATACCCACCCCTGTAACCCACCTAAACTACACATCCCTGAACACTATGGGAAATTTAGCATGGCCAATCCACCTAACCTGCACATCTTTGGACTGTGGGAGGAAACCGGAGCACCCAGAGGAAACCCACACAGACATGGGGAGAATGTGCAAACTCCACACAGACAGTCGCCCGAGGGTGGAATTGAACCCAGATCCCAGCCACTGTGAAGCAGCAGTGCTAACCATTGAGCCACTGTGCCATCCCAAGTGCCTCTGGGTGGTTACGAACCACCAACCTTCCAGATAACAACCTCTGTAATAAAAACAAACGGTGCTGGGGAAACACAGCAGGTCTGGCAGCATCTGTGGACAGAGAAACAGAATCCAGTAAGGCTCTTCTTTGACTCTACTTTGGAACTCAGTTCCGAAGAAGTCATTTCAGACTTGAAATGTTAACTCTGTTTCTCTCTCCACAGCTGCTGCCAGACCTGCATCCACAGTATTTTGCTCTTATCACAGCAACCTCCATCCTCAGCCTTTTGGCAGGTGATTCTGGTGAACACTGAAGATTTCCACAAGATTTCCTATTTTCTCAGCACAGATAAACTCATATCACATCCTGCCCCAAGACCACTCTGTAACTTCTCAGCCACTGTGCTTCAGATGTTTTCATTCCCTTTTTGCACCGAGAAAATTACTTGTTTTGCACCAGATTGACTAGGCACAGGGTAGGAGAACACAAGAAACAATGAAACGAAACAGATAACTCTCTGCATGAGGTAAACCAACACAAAATACAAAGAAAATGGAACATGTTGTTAACCGTCACTTTGAAGGCCAATTACTAGGTTGCAGTGTTATACAGCTGCAGCACTGAATATATTGTTTCCAAGTC